GAAGTTTAAATCGCATTTGGATACAATTTGTACCTGGCATAGTTGGCCCTTTTTCATAGAGGGCATAGTACCTGCTTGAGAGTTAGTTTTCCTCATCATAAATGGAAATTCCATTATTATTTTTATGTAGTTTTAAATAATCTTGTTGAGATAAATCACAGTTATAAATGAAGGAATGGGATAATTTTCCAAGAGAATATGAAGGATTTTTTTTCTTTGTGTGTAGATGCTATTCTGAAACTCTAGGTTAAAATCTAAGAGGTCAGATAGAACTTTAGGCATTTTTGAAATCTTGTGGGTATAGTTTCTGTCTCTGTTTCTGTGTGATGCTTACTTATCAGAGATTTATTTAAGTGCTGTGTAGTGTTGCAGACTTTTCCTTCAACATCAATCATTAGGTGGTTCTGAGGGAATCTTTAAAGCTAACAACTCTTTTATTCTTTTCCCAATAAAGTATGACCTTTGGTTTCTGTTGGCCTTTTTTCCCCTTTACCTTAAAAAAGTAATTGCTTTATTATTTTCCTTTAGAGCTTATGACTACATTAGAATAACTAATGCTCACAGTGAAAATGATTTAAAGCAGCAACTTATGGGCAATACAATATAATTTCTGTAATTTCCTAGATAGCATCCGCTTTATAACATTTTTTGGTATTTTACACACCAATGCTATCTTAGAAGGACACGCTTCACTGACTTGATTCTTAAAATTTTGGAATTGGGATGTAATTGAAAAGCAGTATTTGTTAAATATGTTTGATGTCGCAGGGAATGAGATGATTCTCTTATTGCATTTCCTAATCATTAATCTTCTCCTAATGATTGATAAAGGCAACAAACTTGACCCTGTTTAGAATTATTTAGCTTTACATGGAGGAGTAGATAAATAACTCAGTTCATTAGTGGATGGAGGCCCATTGAATGGATACGTTCTTAAATAGTGGCTTTTGTGTCGTCTTTCATAGCCAGTGCTGTTTAATGGGACAAAGCATAGTGAGTTCCAACTTATTTCTTTGTTATGTAACCTTGGACCAGCGTTCAAAAATTTTAAGTTTTACTATCCTTGTCCACGAAATAGGGGTGCTACCTATTTTGTCTGTTGTGAAAATGAAATGAGATCGTGTCAAGAGCCTGCTACTTAGTAGGTACTTTAAAAATTATTGTTATTGTCATGATTAGTGGTTGCCATTCATTTCTTAAAGTTTGAATGTCACTGATTTGTTAAACAGTCTGAGAAATGTTTTCCCATTGTCTGAGGAGTAGGAGAGGGAGAAGATTCATTCTAACATAATAGAGGGTGGAAAACTGAACAGAACGTCCCTGATTCACGTATCTATTATTTTAAGAGAGATTCTTGTTCACGAATATTCGTTGGAATTTGAGAACAGGTCGAGCAACTGATGTAGGAGATATTTTCTTTGCTGTACATAATTTGATGAACGTCGTCTACCTTTTACACCTTTTATATTCATTTTGACATACATCCAAATTCTATGTATTTTCTATCCCACAAGGCATTATTACTATTTTCATGCATAATATTTATTTAGATTTACCCACATGTTTACGTCTCCACTGTTCTTCTTTAACTTCCTTGAATCATCTGGTATAATTTTCCTTTTTCCTTTGGAACTGCGTTTAGAATTTCTTTTCTTTTTTTTTTTTTTTATGTGCATCTCTCTTTTTTTTTTTTAATTTTTTTTTCAACGTTTTTTATTTATTTTGGGACAGAGAGAGACGGAGCATGAACGGGGGAGGGGCAGAGAGAGAGGGAGACACAGAATCGGAAACAGGCTCCAGGCTCCGAGCCATCAGCCCAGAGCCTGACGCGGGGCTTGAACTCACGGAGCGCGAGATCGTGACCTGGCTGAAGTCGACGCTTAACCGACTGCGCCACCCAGGCGCCCCTAGAATTTCTTTTAATGCAGGCACACTGGTAATAAGTTTTCTCTTTTTGCTTATCTAGAAATGTCTTTATTTCACCTTTACTTTTTAGAGGATATTTTTTGCCAGCTAGAGAATGCTATATTAGAGTTATTTTTAGTTCTCGAATTTCCACTTGACTTAAAAAAAAAGATTCTGGCTCTCGGGTGAAATTCTTCGTCTCAGTGTATTTTTTTAATACCTATCTTCATTGTTTTGAAGCCTTTGTCAGATAATATAGGTAAGCTACTCATGGATCTCTTTCTATTGTCTGCTTTTTCTCTTGGTTCTCTGTCTTGGTGTATCTGATAGCTTATCATTGAACTTCAGGAGATGCAGGGAGCTAGAATGGGGAAAGTATCCCCTCAGTGTGGTCAAGGAGTAAGCGTTGAGTGAACATATAACTTGTAAACTTTGTAAGGGACAGTTGACCCTTTTGTTTACCTGTGCTCCTAGAGTGTTGTGCTCCAGGAATCAACAAAAAGGTGGGAGGGTTAAGAGAGTTCCTCTTTAGTGGGTTTAGACACCCATTTTTCTCTCCCCATGCTGTGAGGCTAGAGAACAAACACAGGTATGAGCTTACTTTTCTATGTTGTCCTTCTCCCCGGGATCTTTGTCCCGCAAATCTTGGCCACTCCATATCCCTGTGACATTGTCAGAAGCTCTGCTAGCTTCTCTGCCTCTTGGCAGCTTTCCTCTGCTGGCTCTTCTTAAGCTTCTCTGTCTCTTGTCCAGGCTGACATAAGACTCAACACATGTCCTCAAGTAAAAGCAGCACAAAGAATGTTGGGCCACCTCAGTGAGCTTCCTGCCTTTCCAGATCCGGGATCATCAAATTCTGGCTGCCTTAGAGGCTCCCCAGGGTTTTCAGACAGGTATTTTTTTCATATCCCACCTTTCTAGTTCTTCTTGCTTTGGTTTGCTCTAAGCTAGTTTGTCAGTCAGAAACAGTAGGTCCTCCATTTATTTTCTTTATATTAAAACTGTTTTCTGGATAGCGTATTGTGCAAAATTCTGTTACCCGCTTCAGGATTAAGCAGTACGATTGGTTAGTTTTGTGTTTGGGCTCCCTGGATAAATGATGCCAAGTTTCATTGGTTTTTCCTTGACCTCACCATCCTGCCCCATTACCTTCAGTTAGATGCATCCGTACTTCTTCCATTTTCTAATTTCATTTATTTATTTTAGTGAAGGAAATATTTCAATGATGTCGTCGAGTGAGTGAATATTTTAATATAGAGAGTAAAAAATTTAGTAAGCTGGTAATATTTAAATTTTCTATTATAAGGGGACCACAACACTAGAACCGCACAGTGAAACCTAAACTTTAAGAAGCCGTGTTTGTAAGAATATGAAAAAAAATGTGTGAAGGAAGGCTTTCACGAATGTCATAGTATGTCTCTTAATTTACCTTCATTTTCTCTTAGCTAATAATTAGCGTTGCTTAAATATGTCTTTGTGGATGATTGTGGGAAAAATAAAATAGCGTCTTAAAACTTTTTACAGTACAGTTTATGAGTATAATCATAAACATAACTAGCCATACACCTTCTACCATTAGAATATACAAGGGAATTATTAACACAAAAGAAATTATCAACAAAACATAAAAAAAAACCTATCCGTGTATCCTAACCAGAGAATCAGATGCTAAGTTCAGAATTAGCAACAAAACCAGATTCCTTTCTCCCTTACATGTCCTGTATGTCCTCCTTTCCTTATAATGAAGGACCTTTGGGGCTAAGCTATTTTTAACAACATACATGATTGGAAGTCCTGCTTAACAGTCAAGGAAAGAGGGTCATTCTTTGACTTCTTTTTTCACTTCATCCGGTGTGATAGGCACAGGAATGCACCTCGCACACCGGAATGCACCTCGCACACCGTCAGCTATGAGCAAGGGCCCCACCTGCTGTGCTCTGAAATCTGCTGCTGCCTTTGCACTTAAGACACGCTTCCCAAGGGCTGCTCCCAACTGGTGCCTTTGAGGAGCAGGGAGACTCAAGCAGGCGGGTCCCCGGATGTCAAGGAACTCTTGAGGGCTCCCTGGCCAGGGCACTGCCTGCCAGTCTTGCTGAACCTTCCTTAGACTGTACAGCAATCTGGAATGATGCCTCCCTCCCTTCTCTCTTTTGCTTCCTTCCAGTCAGATTTGTACTGTGGTCTGGATCCCTCCCCATTTTTCTCCTCTAGGAATTGCCCTTCTTGCAATAGAATAGAATTGTTGCAAGTGTAATCCTGTCTCGGTGTCTGCTTCTCAGAGGACCTAGACTAACACATTCTCCAATTTCTGTAAAAAGATACTATCGTGTGAAATTAGGAAGGAAAGAAAGGATGTTTACTATGACTTTAATGATGACAATATTCGGGGGCGCCTGGGTGGCTCAGTCGGTTAAGCGTCCGACTTCAACCAGGTCACGATCTCGCGGTCCGGGAGTTCGAGCCCCGCGTCAGGCTCTGGGCTGATGGCTGATGGCTCAGAGCCTGGAGCCTGTTTCTGATTCTGTGTCTCCCTCTCTCTCTCTGCCCCTCCCCCGTTCATGCTCTGTCTCTGTCCCAAAAATAAATAAACGTTGAAAAAAAAAAATTTTAAAAATGATGACAATATTCGAATTCTGCTGGATTCTTAAATTTAGGAAAGTTAAAATCTCATGTAATTGAGAGCTAGCCTCTCAGAATTTTTTTCTCACAGCAGTTTATTGTCTGTTTATATGTAAATCTGCTTTCAGATCTGTTTATATGTAAATGTGCTGAATTATTACAGTAGTCCAATCAGGAGCTCATGTTCTAAAAAAATTGTTAATTTACTCAGGGTGATCGGATGGTTGTGAAGTATTAAGCAGGTCATAAGTCATCTTTGAGATAGCTGAGGATATTTAATGAGAAATTAGAAGGAAGTATTTCTGAAGGTATGTTGGTAACTGATATATGGTTGAAAGAAGAATCCTTGAATGTAATAAATAAATAGTAACAGATGTACTTGTTAACAAATCTTTGGTAATTCTTGCCTTCAACGTAGATGGTTTATGCAAGAAGTGCTTATATTTTATATGTTGATGTTAATTCTTTCTTTGCAGAATCACGGGGAAAGATTCGTTTTCATTGCCGAGTGGTATGATCCGAATGCTTCACTTTTTCGACGTTATGAACTTTTATTTTACCCAGGGGATGGATCTGTTGAAATGGTAATTGAGCCTTTTTTTTTTTCCCCCTTAAACATCAGCAGAGGGAGTGAATGCGGGATAGGGAGAGGAATAGGATTGCCTTTTATGTCGCTGCTTTTGAAAATTCATAATATATTTTTTTCTTTTATTACTGGGAATTCTTTTTTTGGTGTTTGAATTCCAATACAAGAGGGTAACTTTGTACCTTTATCTTTAATGTGAAAATAGTAATTCGTATCTTTTGTTTATAAAACGGATGTGGGATTGTTCATGTTTTAGATTAAGCAATAGGCGGTAAGTGGTTGCAGATCAAGATTATCATGGCCCTAAATATGTCACCAATATTGAAAGCTGTTATCTCTCCAACGAGTCAGATTGAAGAAGATCAGGTTAAGAGTCGCACATATTTCGTTGTGTCTCTTCACTGGCAACCCTTTTACAGGTAGATCTCTTTGGTACTGGGGTTTTGTCTAGGCAAGACAGCTGAAATTTGGAATTTCTCTGGGATTTCGTAAGCACTAATTTGCTGAAATGGTTTGGCAATGAACAAATCTTTCTATTCATGGTTTATTAAAGTATTAAATTTGTAATAAGTTTTTCTGTTATTACTGGATTCCACTAGGAAATACAGAAGTTCTAAAAGAAGTGTGATTTGTATTTGTAGCAAAAGTGAAACAATGTCGCCAATGTTTAATGAAGCAGAATAAAGAATCATTTTTAATTTATAATAAGATTAACATTCTCTTTGGAGAATTATTTGTCTTACCGTGTTGCTTTTGTTTTAGCACGATGTGAAGAATCACCGCACCTTTTTAAAGCGGACCAAATATGATGATCTTCACTTGGAAGATTTATTTATAGGCAACAAAGTGAACGTCTTTTCTCGACAGCTGGTGCTAATTGACTATGGGGATCAATACACAGCTCGCCAACTGGGCAGTAGGAAAGAAAAGTAAGAAAATCTTTTCTTCATTCTTAAAACATTATGTATGTCCTGATACCAAAGTCTAATTTCTATCTTGTATTTTTACAACATAGACACTTTTCTGATTCAGTGATCCGATGCAGTGTTAGGACATTTTTAGAATTTTGAGGAGTAGATTCAGTGATTTGTTTTTCACTCAGATAACAAAGTGATGCCCATAATCCTAGGCAGTGATTATTTTCTGGAGAAAAAAAATACAAACTTTTTATACGCCCTCATCTTTCTTCATAACATGCATTTAACTGGGAGCTGAGAATGTTTGAACATAAAAAAGTATTGGTGTGTAGGACAGACATGGCTTATAGGAGAAAAGTAGTGAGTGCCACACTCTCGGTGGAAACAGAAGAAAGTAGTTTGTTGTGGAAGATCGGGGAAGGCTTTGTGAAGGTGTTTGAGCTGGATCCTGAAAGATGAATTGGATTTTTACCCAGTTAGGCTGAGAGGAGGGAATGCTGGTCAGAGGAATAACGATAAGAAGAGATTCAAAGGCAGAAAGTTGTAGGTTGTTTACTGGAAAGAGCCCATTGTTCTGCCTGACTTGTTTGACGGTTGACATTTTTTTAGAACTTTAATTAGCAAAATAGCCTGAATGAGGGCGGTAGCAATAGGCGTGGAGAGGCAGATGTGTGCAAGATTAACAGTAATGGTAGTGATAAGCGCTCAGTGACGGCCAGCTATTATTATATGGAGCATGGTGTTAAAATGATCTGGATGGGCTATTTGAGTCCCATGACAACCTGATAAAAAAGGTGCTATTATAATTAGCTCCCCTTTGCAGATGGGGGAGGTGACACTTAGCCAAGTGAAACAGCTTGCTGAAGGGCCGAGGAGAGGCAAGATAAAGCCCAAAGTCCAGTCTGAAGAATGGGAGGATTTAATCATAGGAGAATGGAGAGGACCTGGAAAGCGGTCGTCCTCTCTCTGTCTCACTTCATTTGTATGTCTTCTGGCACGTGGCACATCTCCTTACGCGTATTTGTGTTAGCTAAATCAGTCAGTGAATAACAATTTTAAATTCATGATCTGCCCTTTCCTTTTTCAGAAATGTCCTCCCTGCTTACAAATGATGACCTTTGATCTAGTTGACAAAGATGTTTTTGTCTAGATTGTTTGTAATGAATGTCGTTGATTTTTGAGCTAACAGACCTAACGCCTGTCTGATAAATATTGACTGATCCAGCGAAGAAAGAATGAGCTAGTGTTATAAAAATAAAATAACACAATAGCGAAGAGAAACTTACCTGTCTTGTTCACAACTGTATGCCTCAAGACCGTTCTTGTGATGCCCCAGGCAGTAAGTTATTCCCAGGAGATGCCCCACAAAAATTTGTTGAATCAATGAATGAATCCGTTTATGCCACTGAACACAGTTATGTCTGGAGGCAGAGCTTCCGGCCGGCCTGTCCAGCTCCTCCCTTCCCTCCCAGTGCACATGGCTGTCTCTTCCTGTGACGGTGAGAGGCTGTGGCGTGGGACCTTCCAGTTGTCTCGTTAGCCTTCTCTCTGTACTGGTGGTCAAAGCTGCACTTGTCGCCCTGACTTTTCCTCAGTTCTGATTTAGAAGAGAGACAGAAAATGTTGGAGATGCAGCTGAAAAATCAGGCTGTTCTGAAAACAAGGACTTTTTAGTAAGGTTTTTCTCCTGCATATCAATTTTCAGCATTGCTAAAGTGACATTTTCATTTTCAGTCTCTACCTTTATGAGTTTTCAACCTTCTGAGGCTAGAATGACTGTATTTGAATTGAAATTTGACTTCTTTTGTCATCATTATTGGCTTCGGTTTCTTTGGCTTGTATATTATATTTATCTTGGGGGATTCTTGGCAGTGTGGAGTGATTATTGTAGTAATTAAAAGTAGGGACCGCCAGTGGAAGGTAAAGCTATCAATATAAAAAGCTCCAGATACCCTTCAATTTGAGAGGAAAAAAAATATGTCAAACTATATTTTGAGGTCTACCAACAAAATAACTAGCTGGTTACATAACATCTGAGTAACTCCAGTAGTAATATTCTTTCTGTGACCTCTTTACAAGCCTTTTGTAATCTCGGGGTGCTCTGGTGCTCATTGTGGATATTAGTACACAAGTGGTGATGTATCAGAGTGGTGGTCAATACCTCATAAAAAAAAAGACCATTCCCAGAATAACTCTGAAATGGGGGAAAAATAGGATGTTAAAGAGGAATCTCATTGTTATGAGGTCTCGTGGTGAAAGTCTATGAGATTAAGGAAACATCTACCCTAATTCCTTTATTTGCAAGTAATAAATATTTATAGCTTAAATGTTTTTCAGCACATATATGCCAAGCACTGTGATAGGTACTTTTCATGTGAATCTCAGTTCAAGATGACTTTAAGCTTTCGTTTAAACTAGCAGAAATAAATGAATTAGGGAAACAGGGTTAATAGTATGACCTGATCAAAATAAAATAATAATACGTATAGCAATTACAATTTGCATATATATTAGTCTTATTTCTCTAGAGTGAATGTCATTGATTCCATTTTACAACACAGTTGAGTAGCTTGGCCATGGTCGTAGATTTGGACAGTAAAGAAACCAGTAAACGTTGTTGTATATGCCTCAAACTCCTTCTCTTTCCACTAAGCCTCTAATTAATAAGTTGATAAATACTGTTGAGTGGGACTGATTTCAAAAGAGGAGGACTAGAAGAATATGAAGACAGATTTTAAATATTTGGGGCACCCGGGTGGCTCAGTCGGTTCAGTGTCCAACTTCGGCTCAGGTCACGATCTCGTGGTTCATGGGTTCGAGCCCCACATCTGAGCTGTCAGCTCAGAGCCTTGGAGCCCGCTTTGGACTCTGTGTCTCCCTCTCTCTGCCCCTCTCCCACTCGCACTCTGTTGTCTCTCAAAGGTAAATAAATAAATGTTAAAAAAATTCTTAAATATTTGGGCTGTATAATTAATAACAATATATGCAGTATTATATTTTTACTGACTTAACACTGTCTCCCCATCTTCTTTTTTGATTCTTTCTTAACTGTGTGTGGGCTAGTAAATCCAGCAACCATTTGGCTGATTTAAATAAGCTTCTTCAGAATTTAAGAATTTAAAAAAATGTATTCTTTCACTTAAATGACAAAAAAAAAAAAAAGGGCATTGGAGAAGTAAGTACACGTACCATCTGTCGTAATCCCGTAGAAGCAACCTGTATGTAATAACTGTAACTCAGTCTCATTCTCAGTGTGGATGGGGACAAGGATAATTTATGAACTCAGTACCTCCCGGTTGTATTTCTCATACTCAACTCCCTTCTTTACACCAGAAAGAAATGATAGGAGCGCCAAGGAAAATTGATCTCTGTGCTGCCCATCAGCTAATTTTGAGGCAGTTATCCAGATGATTCAGTATAGTTCACTTTAGCTCTCAAACTGGCCTTGGCCTTCCAGTTCTCTTAGACTACAGAACTATGACATTTGATTCACGTTTCTACCTGCTTGCTTTCTTTAAATCTCCTTTCTGAGTTGTAATGGACATAAAAAAGCTGTAGCTAATTGAATGCATACCACTTGAGCACTTTGGAGATAAGTGCACGCCCATAAGCCATCACCACAGTGAACGATACAGGCTTCTTTGTCACCTCCAAAACTTTTCTCCTGCTCCTTTTATTATTTTTTTTATATTGATTTTTTTGTGTGTGGTCAGAGCACTTAACGTACGATTTACTCTTTAGCTAATTTTAAATCTATTCTCTATAGAGCTCCTCAGGTCAAGTTGACAAAGGCTATTTGTTGGCAAAGTATCAGAGTAATTGGTTTTAATTAATTCTAATTGAAGTATAGCTGATAGGGTTTCAATTGTAAATGGCAATGAATTGACATCTCTGGTTCTGTTGTTTAGATGCGAGTCCACCTAGTACAAACTTCTTGTGATCTCTGGGGCGGGTTAGTCTCCAGATTAGTAACTGATGGGAGCACCGACACAAGAGCCAGGTGAAGACCAACACGAAGATGGGCGCTTATCCGGAACGTCCGGGATCGGGGACGCTTGAGAGTGGCCGAGGCTCTCCTCATCTTCCTACTTCTGCCGCCCACCTCCCATCTCACTCCTCTTCCAGTCCTGACCTCGGGGCCTGCCCTGTGTGGCAAACCCCTCCGCCCGCACACTTGGCCCGGGGTCTGTGCCGCCTCACAGCCCACCCAGCACAAGAGACAGAGCACCGGAGATAGGCTTCCACACAGGTCATTGTGCTAAACATGGGGACGCGGGAGGACGATGGCCTGAGGGCCTGCAGGTCTGAGACAAAAGGGGCGGGGCCACATGTGACCAGAAACCTACAGCATATAGTTGAAGAAAGATGAGGTAGAGCAGATAGAGGGAATGGAGGGAGGGATCACCGTCCTGGGGGTGGAGTCGAAGTCACTCATGTGCACTCAAGAGTGCACATATTCCTGTTCTTGGAGTTTTCTTTCTTTCTTCTTTTCTTTTAAAGTTTATTTATTTTGAGAGAGACAGCAAGCGAGCGTGAGCAGGGGAGGGGCAGAGAGAGAGGGAGAGAATCCCAAGCAGGCTCCGCACTGTCAGCGCAGAGCCCATGTGGGGCTCGAACTCATGAACCGTGAGATCATGACCTGAGCCGTAATCAGGAATCAGATGCCCAACTGATTGAGCCACCCAGGCGCCCCTTGGGGTTTTATGTCTTAAAGCCAGTTGGCCTAACAGTTTTGAGTAGGTTACTTCTCAGAAGAGGGGAGCAGCAGAATATTCGTTTAGGTCTGCTCTCACCTGAAAAGTACTCTCGCAGTACTAACCACTGTTATTTTACAGAACGTCCTAGGACCATAGTGAGCAGTTGAGTTTTGGCTGCTAAAAGGCACTGAATTGCATTAAAGTCATGTAGTTCAATTGCCAAGGCCTTCCTAAAAATTCACCCCCTAACCTTTTTCTCTTTACTTATCTATGGTCTCATTGTCCAAGATGACTTACTACTGATTACATGATGGC